TATTTCAAGATGGAGAGGGTAGACGACTTGACAGATCAAGTCAAAGGAGAACTGACAGTCGATCCCTGGAATTAACAGGGTGGCCACAGAAGACTAGGAAAAACTTGCGAGGCAATAAAGGCAACTGGAGTGGGTTCAGGAGGAATGGGAGGGAGAAACTGCAAATGGCAAGTTGGGACAGCCCTTTCATGGAGTCTGTCTACTAAGGGAAGAAGTAGGCATCAGTGGGGACAGCTAGCAGGGAGGAAATGCTTTATAATGATGAAGTGGGGAGAGTTGCTAGAAAGACATCTATGAGTAGGTGTGGGGGGGGGATGGGTGTTTGGCAGGTGCCTAAACTCTTTATTCTCACCACTGGAGACAAGGCAGGGTGTGCAGAAAGAGCTGCTGAGACAGCTTCATTTCTTGCGGTGAAATGGAAGCGGGGTCCTCCACTGAGTGACGATGGGGAAGGAAGAGTTGGAAGTGGAAGATGGTAAGGAAAGTCTGACCTCACTCGTGGAAGAGTGGGAGAAAATGGACTAGGTAGGTAAATACAATTCCTGGGCAGCCACGAGGATCTGTGAGGGGTGTGAATGGCCATGATTGTAGAGCAGGACTTGTCAGCAGTGTTGGATATTTTCCTTCAGTCACATTCAGCAGCCAGAGCATGAGCATGGCTCACACAGACCGATGATGGATGTTAACTGGTTGTGGGTTTCCAGGTGAGTGAGAATGGAGGAAGGAGCAAGGGAGTTTGTAAATTCAGACTATATTATGTGTTAGTGGCTGAGTCAGGCCTTTTGGCCTTAGGGTAAATTGCCACCCCTGCATCTCAAAGCAGTTTCTGAATATCTAGTTCTAGACAGAACATTGCTAGGATTTATATAAATAGTTCACACCTATCCTGTGCTGCCTATATAAACCTGGCAATAAAAATTACTGACCGTTGTTGGCCATTCAAGACTTTGAGAATGGGGTAAATTATTTTCCGTGAAAAGAGCCCGCGTTCTTCCTTTAATATCTCAAATAGTACCTCAGAAAAAAAAAATTGTGCTTTGGATTTATTTTTGTGGATCTCCATTTTCTTGTTTAAAATGAAGTCTAAATAATTCTGGGTACTTTAGCTGGAGAGACCTACTAAGAAGACAGCTGCCTAAGGAGTATGGTTCAGGGATACGAGGAGCACCCCCTCTGTAAACCCAGCAGGCAGCCCATGCCTGCTTGCTGAAGCCTGAGGTGTCAGTACAAATGCTGACTTTAAAAAGGGGTTAAAACTCCAGTGTCTGCAGGAGCTGGCAGCAGACAGGAGTGGAGCATTTGTGGGCGGGGACAGGCCAAGCGCTTGGTCTCCTCTAAAAGAGGCTTCAGCTTTTCTGTCACCACAAATGAACACAGGAAGCAAAATCTTACAAGTTTTCAAATTAACCCAGAAATCATGACTTTGATATGAAACCTCCGATTTTAAAATGTTGGCAACATTTTTTTTTTTCCTCAAAAAGCTAAAAACCTTTTTTATGGGCAAACCAGAAGAGTTTGACTTGTAAAGTAGTAAAAGCCTCTAAAACTATAAATCCTTCTGGGGTAAGACTGAATTTCATCGATGTTTCCTACTGGAGTCTATGGGAGAACATTTCAGCCTACTTCTGAGAATTGGTTTTGTTTGGGAAAAGTAGGAATACTCTGAATGCTTCACGCTGCTGTCTCAACCAAGGTGGCTTATCCCTGCTTATTGCTCACATCATGGATACATGGTCTAGTATACTGATGTTTATTATAATCTTTTTATATATTCTCACTTCTTAAAATCTGACAAAAGATTCCATGAAAACAGTGAAGGAATTCTAGATATCAGAATTTTATTTAATGAAATCAAATGTCGTGCCATCTACGTTTACCCCTACCTTATATATGATTATTTCTACAAGGATTCAGACTCTCAGTTACTTAAGATTAAGATTCCTTTAGAGTTTTCCTAGAATAAACTGATTTGCTTCATCTCATTTTCCCTGCTTTTGGCTAGATGACTACCTTATTCAGTATCTCTCATCTTCCTGCTGAGATTCGATATGAATATATCCTTAGCAATATTCGTAAACCAGCATTAAGACAGCAGCCCATAAAATAAGAGTGGTATACTCCCCTGAGTAAGGAATGGGGACAATGTGAGTATTAATATCAGCAACTGTAATAGTTATAGCTGCTACCATTTAATTATTACTCTGGTACTTCATACTCATCATCTCTAGTCCTAATACCCCTATTAGATTGGCATGATTGTCCTCATTTTACAAATATAAGCTCAGAGGGAAGAGTTAGCATGCTCAGAGTATCAAAGACAATAGTGACAGAGGTAAGCATTATACCCAAGATTGTCTGGTTGACTGCATCTTGAGGTTCCCATTTACAATTTGGCCACAGTTCAAAACTATTAATGGCTGCTCCCTTGTTGGCCCTCTTTGAGTTTAGAGATAAAAAAATGAATATACAGCTCTTGCCTATAGAGATATTATGCTCCACAGTGAAGACACAAAGATGCATCTTCGAAACCATGTGGTTGGCGGGAGGCAGACCCAAACTACAGCTGGTATTGAGAGAACGAGCAAACTTAGAGTGTGGTCGAGGAAAGTTCAATCAGGTGGGTGATACTCTAAACTGAATGTTTAGGAATGAGTAAGAATTAGGTTGAAGAAATAGGGGAAGAATGTTCTAGGTGAAATACAGCATAAATAGATGTGTGATGTTTGCAGTCAATTGAAAGGTGGTATACTCGCATACATGTAAGCAGGAGATGAGGTGCTTACTGTAGACTGGAAGCGACATTGAAATGGTATACAGTTAGAGTTGGCTTAAAAAAGGAACATCCCAGCAGCCAAGTGAAGGATGGAACAGAAGACACACTTAGCAATTTCAGGATTCTTGTTTTTAACTACTTTGTTCTCAGAAAAATTTTCCTAGGAGAGACTTACTTTGGACATATATACTAAATTAACTTGCCATTATTACCAAGTGCATTGTTAAAAGGAAGCACAGTTCAATAATTTCATCTTTGCATCAAAGTAAATTGTTATGAATTAATGAGACCACGGTAGGACACACGGCCGCTGGCACTGGCCAGCATCGTGGATGCATTAATACAGTACCTCTTCTTAAGAAATAAAGATGGAAACATTGTCAGCAGAAATCACAAATTTATTAACTCTTAAATATATCAATCAGTCATTTACCATTATGGCAAGAAATATATACAGTGTCCCATGGTAAACTGCAGTGTTTCAAAATGATAGAAGATAATAAATGTGTAATTCAGTTGTGGTGGAGAGAACAAATCACAATTTCCTCACATCTTAGTGTGGAAGACAAACTTGGTCTATGGTAATACTTCAACACCACATGCTAAGTTAGAAGTGTAAAAAAAAAAACACTATACCTATTATTTTTAAAATACATGTATGCCACGTAGAGCCGCTTCACAAAAAGGTAGAAGAAATCAAAAAGGGAAAAATGAGGCCATTACTTTTCACAGATCTCATTGGCAGGTTAACATGGCTCAATACATTTACTGTATATATTTATTTTAAATATATATTTTTAAATCGTGTAATTATCAGAAAAGCTTCAATCCATCTACCATACATCCACTAGCAACAATATCTAAAGTGATTAGTAATCAACACAGAAAGGTGAAATGAGAGAAAGAGGGAGGGTTGTTTTTTGTTTAGTTTTTTGCTTCTGCTTTAAAAATAGGCTTCTGAAGATTGTGAATCACTATTGTTAAAATAATGCTGATGAAGATACCATGCACTAGAAAGCATTTCAGGGAAGAGAAACTGCCTCACAGGAGTTGAGAAAACAAAGGAGAAATGAGAAGCACAAAGAAAATCCAGGCATTTCCCTTTTCTTTTTAAACTGGAAAATCCTAACTCCTCACAGGAAGATAATGTCACTGACACAAGAGAGAAGCTAAGAAAGCACACGCCACAAAGATCAAGCTCTAAACACTTAGGAGAATAGAAATCACTTGCAGACCTCTCTGACTTTAGAAAACTAGCCAGTGGTGAAGCAGGAGGGGCCCAGTCCACAAGGCAGAACTAAGTGCCTTTGCACAAAACCCTGATCCACTACAACTTGGTGTTGTCCTTGCAAGTCCCCTAATTAGTAAGACACCTCTCAGGTAAACTAGGAACTCCCTGCTTTTACCTAAGTTTAAATAATTCTAATACCACCAACATAGGCTGTAGTTTGGACACAGGGATTCTAAGCAGAATTAAGAACGTTTAAAATCTTGACAACGTTTTCAGGGTCCTAAAGATGATAGGAGTGCTAGTTTAGTTACCGCCATTATGCAAATTTCACTTTCCTTTCTGTCTAGTAGTGTGTGAGAAAAGACAGAAGAGGATGGAGAAAAAGGAAGCAAACAGCAAAAAGTGAGATCAAATGGAGAAAACAGAGCACATAGGTGAGAAGGGAACAGGAAATACAACAAATTCACAACTGTGAGTATATCCTAAAGTGATCACACGTAAATTATGTGAATTTTTCCAGTTTACGATTTGAGCAAAACCAGCATGACTTTATCTCGCTTCCACATTGAGTGATTTTGCTCACATATCAACCTACTTTAATTGTTAAAGAGCAACAAAGCTTTCAACCAGGATCCCAGGATCACACTAGGAAACTGAAAGTGTTTTTTTGTTTGTTGTTTTTTTCTTTTTTTTTTTTTTTTTTTTTTTTTTTTTTTTGCTTTTTGTTAAACAAACAAGCCAAAACCGATTAACAGCAAAGGGTTTTAAAAATTTACGTTTCTCTTACAAACTGTCATTCAGAGAACAATAATTTTGAAGTCTGTTAAATCTTGGCATAAACAGAAACTTGACGAATAGGTTGTATTTGGAACATTGTGGAATTTTTTTTTGACCTCCCTCTATTGTTTGCCAACAGTAATTTAAGTTTGCATGGAACATCCCCCTAGTTGAAGTGTAAACAATGTGTGGGAAGGAATATATGACAAGATGATGTATCACATATGCATTACATGTAGGACCTTCACAACTTCATGCACTCAGAAACATGCATGAAGAGGAGGAGAGGACGGCCCAGGGTTCCCATCCAGGTGCCTTGAGAACAAGAGAATGCAGAAGTGGCACTGTTGACATTTAGCTGAAAGAAAGTGGGGGAGGGGGGAGGGAGAAATAAGTTACACCGTTTTACAAAATATTGCCAAATTGTTTTGCCAAAGATGTGACTAGGGTACAATTTTATACCTTAGCTAAATTAATTGAAAATACAATGTATGAGATCTTTGCTTGCAAAAGATGAAATACACGATGTTAAGCAGAAACAAAATTAAAATAGATAACAACAGCATTAATTTTCTCTCAACTTTGTCCACACAGAGCTAAGCTGAAAACAGAAACAGGAACCCAGGCTTCAATCACATTATTGAATATAAATATGCATTGTAAACATTCATGTTTTGTTAAAATGAAGTTTAAATTCATCCTTAGCTTTTGTCATCATTCTTAGGCTCCTTGGAAAGTTAAACCTAGAAGTCAATTTAACAAGGAATATAGCCTCAAAAGTAGATGAAACATAATGATTTAATTGGAGGTTGTTTTTTTTTTTTTTTTTTTTTTTTTTTTTTTTTTTTTTTTAATCCAACTGCTGGTAGCACTATTTGTTAAAAGCTCTGATAAGGTTCAGTGCTTTGAGTGGAGAAAATACTCACAACATTACCACATATATCTGGATCCTAATCCAAGTTAAGAAATAAATCTTAAAAAACAACACAGGCATGAATTTAATTACAGTCAACTTTCAATTATCCTCTGGAATTACCTACTATGTGAGTTTTAAATTTCAGCTTGACTTCCTCTTGTGGCCTGTGCTCATGGTCAAATACTATTATACTCAGTCAGGCACAGCAAATTAATTTATAAATTAACCTTAGTCAAGTGCTTAACAGGAATTACCACCTCTAGAAAAATGGACACCAAAAAATCCTACAGCTTGTTATAAATTAGGTCTGGATAATTGAGAGTTGTGAGAATTGACCCAGACATAATGGACTTTTAAGGCGAGAACTCCAGGATATTCTAAAATGCTAACATCCATATGCTAAGGCTCTTCTCAGAGCTTATTACCTTTAAAACAAGGGTTATGCTACAAAATGAGGCCAAACATTAGACTCAAGAGCTCATGCAAAAGTGCTATAAATTTCCAAAGACCTTTAATATTTTCCATTGAATACAATGCAAACGAAAATATTCTTAAAGGGAAGAAAAACAGCCATGCAGCTTTTTAGTCATTAGCTCCATTCACAAAGTATCCCGGAGCAGGATGTTACTTACAAGACCCATATGTGAATGGTTTTCAGGCCTTAGATGTTTTGCCACAAAGAGGTGCTTCCTGAGAAGTTTTCTTTCCCATTTGGAATACAGGATGGCCTATTAAGAGAAGCCCCATTTAAGCCATTTGGCGTAAAATGAAGTTTTCTTAAATAGGCTCTATCCCATAAACACTTGAGGGAATTGTAGAAAAACCTTACCCTCTAGTACTGTATGATTGTAATCCCTTCCATATTAACTGTCAATTAGTGCTGTACCTCTTTGGGGTAAAAAACACACAAGCATGGGTATCTTCATTATTATATTCCTCTTGTCATTCTCTTCATTACATAGCTATCTATTTTTCCTTCGTCTACTTTTTATAAATCCAACAGTGATAAGTAATTATTAAGGCTATAGAGAAGGTCTTTGAAAACCACTGTGGTACATTATTAAACTGAGAAATTTTGATAGATTCTCTGGAGTTGAATGGCTGTTTGTATAAACTTGACTCCCCATCCTACTCCCTTCTGAATATTAACAGGTGATCCTGGTGAGACAATTTGGAATGAGACCAACATTAGGTCACACTTCTGAGTCTAAACTCTCCTTCTTGTTTTCAATCTCATCCCTTCACTGACACAACCTTATTTCTCAATATTCCCCTTTCCTCCAGTTGGAGCCAGCCTTCCTTATCCATAATCCTCTACCATACAAAGCTAACATCCTGACATTGTCCTTTTCTTATGATATTCCTGGACTATCTTCCATTTGCTCTATGTCTCCAAATTCCACTTGGAATTTGGACAAGGTCTTAAATGATATATTCTGTGCAAGATATACTTCTAAACTACTGTGAACAGTTTGTTACATTGGTCATTCATTCCATTCTACTCTGAAGTTGATTGCAAACCTCGTAATTTTTCTTTGGTATCAATCATAAGTTGATTTCTAAACTAGAATATAAGTTCCTGGAAGACAATTATCTTTTACCTTGTATTTTATCTGGCATAAGTTAATCACCTAGGAGATGTGCAAGAAATATTTGTCTAATTATTGATTGGAAGAGCAAACATAACATCTGAGGTAGAGTAGCATAGTGAGGAAGACACTGAAATACCTGTTCCTTGTATTTTGAATGCTGTGTTTATAAATTTCTTCTAATACCTGTTAACTGAGCCCAGTAGATCATGTATAAAGGTTCTGATATGATAATGGTCATTTTAGAAACGCCTCCTTATTTTTTCCTCCCACATCACCCTCTTCTGCAAATTGTGACAATGAAGTCACAAATAGTTTGCCGTATTACGTGATTTAAGAAAAAGAAACCTGGGGCGCCTGGGTGGCGCAGTCGGTTAAGCGTCCGACTTCAGCCAGGTCACGATCTCGCGGTCCGGGAGTTCGAGCCCCGCGTCGGGCTCTGGGCTGATGGCTCAGAGCCTGGAGCCTGTTTCCGATTCTGTGTCTCCCTCTCTCTCTGCCCCTCCCCCGTTCATGCTCTGTCTCTCTCTGTCCCAAAAATAAATAACGTTGAAAAAAAAAAAATTTAAAAAAAAAAAAAAAAAAGTAAAAGAAACCAGCTTGCTGGGGTATCCTCCAGTTTCTATTATACATGTGTTTCAACCCCCAAACAGCTGGTCTAGTTGATCTTTCTAGACAGTTATAATCTATTTCTCCTTAAACATTCCCACTGATGTAACTGACTTCCAGTGTTAAACAACACTATGTCATGTCATTAACAATGGAATAAGTAAAAAACACTGGCCATGGGTATATTAACACAGAAGCTGACAGACTGGAAATATTTACTTGATGGGTACTGTTGGCGACCCAGAGCGATGAAAATGAACATTTTGCCACTTTCCATCCCGGCGGTGCCACACACGGGTTTCTTCTGACTGCATTGTCTTTGGCATCCCGCTGCCATCCATGTACTGTGTGAGCCTAATGTACGCTATGCAGGCAGCATCATCACCTACCAGGTGTACATGGGGGTTCAGGATAATAGTGTGGATTGGTTTATTGCTTTTGGACAAAGCTGAAAGAGAATAAAATGAAAACAAAACTTAGTTACTACATACAGAAAACCAAAACCAGTAACTTCGTCTGGGGCCAATGAATGCAATGCCATTCATTCATTCAACTACTAATTGTTTGCTTTGAGTCCCTGGCACTGTGCAAAGTAAAACGAAAAGAGAAAGGAAAAAAGAAAGAGCAAAAGTAGATAGTCATTATTTTCTTTGTTTACCTTCATAGAGAAGTTGTCACTCTGGAAACTCAGGGACACACAAAGCTGAAGGTGAAGAGGTGTATTTATTTATAATGGGAAGTGGTTAAAAACAAAAGCTATACTGGGGCACCTGGGCAGCTCAGTCGGTTTAGCCTCCGAGTTCGGCTCAGGTCATGATCTCACAGTTTGTGGGTTTGAGCCCCGCATCAGGCTCTATGCTGACCGCTTGCTCAGAGCCTAGAGCCTGCTTCGAATTCTGTGTCTCCTTCTCTCTCTGCCCCTCCCCAGCTCACGCTTTGTCTCGCTGTTTCTCAAAAATAAATAAATGTAAAAAAATAAAATAAAAACAAAAGCCATGATACAAATAGAGAGGTAGAGGGCCTGGCCCAGATGCATGGAGCAGTTGAGAGGATACCCTGTGGTCTTGTTCGTTTTGTTAGTTGATGAAATACATGGGACAAGGAAATATATCCAGTATTATGCTTAACTGACTGAGCCACCCAGATGCCCCTAAAATGCTTTTTATTTATTTTTGAGAGAAAGCAAGAGAGCAAGTGAGGGAGAAGAAGAGAGAAAGGGAGACAGAGGATCTGAACTGGGCTCTGTGCTGACAACAGAGAGCACAATGCAGGGGCTTGAACTCATGAACCCTGAGATCATGACCTGAGCTGAAGTAGGACGCTTAACCAACTGGGCCACCCAGGTGCCCCTGATGTTATTCCTTTAGATCACTAAAACAGGTTAAACTGTTTTACCTGTTATGCAAACCTCTCTCCCATTTTCAGAAAAGATCTGAGTAAATTACTAAATGCTACAGTCACATAAAAAAGAATATCCCATTATGAAGAATATGTATTTATGGTAAGTAATGACATATAGTTTCTGTTGAAATAAGTTAAACATTTAAGGGGTTAATTATTCTTTTATTAGTGATGAGATGGTGTCGATTGAGAACCAACTGGAAGAAACATTATGAGAGAATCAGGAAATTTACTGAAGCTTTATTAAGGCCAATTTACCACATAATTCTTTCCTTGCAAATGCCTAGTGACTATGTAAAAAAAAAAAAAAATCATTAAACATACTTTAAATTAAAAACCCATGCCACAGCAGACATTCCTGTCAACGCTTATAATTATTGGAAGTGAATTTGATTATTCTAGTCCTTGCTACACTTCCTCTTTAATTTGATGAATTCACTCTATGTATCATGCAAACAAAAGACAATTCCTAGTCTTCAGGTGTAAGGAAAAGAAAGATAAAAGGAATTTCTGGTTTACACTTTTTTTGATGATCTCAAGGATCTCTGGAGTTTCTTTTGCTACTATCTCTGAAATGTGGCTATTTCCTCTAAGACCAAATTCTTATAGTGAAAACTGAAATATTTATTTACCTGATCACTCATCTTCAGGTACATTTCACTTTGAAAATGAGCACTATGCTTGAAAGCACCCCTTTATGTCAAATATTCTGATATGCTATGGTGTCTTTTACTTTTTTGTACATAAACAATGTTTTATGAAAACTTATTTTTTTGGTAATTCATTTTGCAGCTTATATATACATTTGCTGGGACTTAGCTGGGGTACGTTCCATCAACATTACCTTTTATACAAAATCAAAGAGCTTCCAAAACACCAAAACTTTTAAGCTTGTCATTTTTTTTTCAGTTTCAAATACGAAAAGTGTTATGATGTAAAATACTGGACTAAGGTGAAAATTCTCATTATAGAATAGAGAAAAGCTATAAATTTAAGAGAAATTCAAAGAGAAATTGGAAAAGGCATGTTATTAAATTTAGAATAAATGTACCATTTTCAAAGTAGAATCGGTGAAAGTCCATCCCTTCCACTAAATTACCCAAAGCTTCAGGTTCAAAAGCAGTAAGGCCCGGGTCACAGATTTTTCTGTAGGGGGAAAAAAAAAACATAATGAAAATAACCAATACATAGGTTAATATATTTTGTTTATATAATATACTTTGTTTCACACATATCCAATCTTATTTATCAACTCTTATTTTCCACTGGAAGGAAAGAGTCTTTAAAAAACATAAAAATATAAAATTTCTTTCACAGGCCTTGGCAAGGTGAGTTGAGGAGCAGATGCTATAAAAGCATTTTGCAGGGAACTCTGATAGGCGCAAGATAACACAGCAAGTTCCAGCAGATGATAACTAGACTTCTTTAGGAGTCCCCTTTTTAAAATTTCTGCTTTTTTATATTTCCAAGATGAATTCTCTAGCCTTTCTCCAGTTTTTCCTCTTATTTTTAATTTTTTAAATGTTTGTTTATTTTTGAGCGTGAGAGAGCGCGCCTGAGCACAAGCAGGGGAGGGGCAGGGAGAGAGGGAGACACAGAATCCCAAGCAGGCTGCAGGCTCCGAGCTGTCGGCACAGAGCCCGAACTCACAAACCGTGAAATCACGACCTGAGCCAAAGTCATATGCTTAACCCACTGAGCCACCTAGGCACCCCATGTTACTTTTATTTTTTTACACTTGATCTTAGCCAAAAGGCCGAGAAGTGATTTACTCTTCAGTTGTTGGAGTCCAATACACTCTCCAAGTCCTACAAAATCAACATTGGCTCTGAAACTAAATAATTTTGGAACAACTTTTGACACCTTCTACATTCATTGATTTGAAAGCATATATCACATCCTGTACTTTCTGGAAAAGCTGTTTTTAAAGTTTATTTCACTTGGGGTGCCTGACTGGCTCACTCGGTTAAGAGTGCCAACTTCGGCTTAGGTCGGCATCTCACGGTTTGTGAGTTCGAGCCCCACATCGGGCTCTGTGCTGACAGCTCAGAGCCTGGAGCCTGCTTTGGTTTCTGTGTCTCCCTCTCTCTCTGCCCCTCCTCTGTTTGTGCTCTCTCTCAAAAATAAAAATAAATTAAAGTTTCTTTAACTTTTAAAATAAAATTGAGAGATTCAAACATACAGATTAGTTTTCTTTTTAATACTAGAAATGTAATTCAACAAAGAGATAGGACATTTTTAAATATTCAGAGAAAGCCAATGGCTTTCTTTGGAGAAATTTATTCCATGAAGAATTGTTAAACACCTATGTGGCAGATATTCTTTGAAACAATTATAATATAACAATTAAGACTGGAATAGAAATAAATACAAAGTGCCTGAAAACCAGATTACTTACATATGGGACAGGAAAGATTTAGGAGAAAAAGTGAGCTGGGCTTTTAGGAATGTGTAGAAGTTTTCCAGGTGTGGGGAAGATGGTAGGCAGGAGGAGGGCAGCAAATACAATAGCTTAGTACTGAGAGAATAGAGAGTATGTTTAGGGAACAACTAGTCGCTTGATCTGGTGAGCACTGGGTCAGTGGGTATGTATATAAGTCCCATAAAGGGGGAAACAGTTCCTTGGGCCTGCGGTGATCAAGGCAGGCTTCTCAGAGAAGGTGACATAAAATCTGGATTTGAGGAAATAGTGCAAGTTTACAAAGCGATAAAAGGATTTGGGACTATTTATTTTGGGGGAAAAACATTTTAACTGTTCAACAGAAATACAAGTTGGCCAACATGTATTCAAAAGGCCAACTCACTATGGTTCTTCACAGTATTGTTCATAGTGCATGGAACCGATTTTTTAAAGAATGCTTTTAAAGTAGAAAATAGTTGGGGCGCCTGGTTGGCTCAGTTGGTTAAGCATCTGACTACAGCTCAGGTCATGATCTTCCAGTTTGTGAGTTTGAGCCCTGTGACGGTGCTGACAGCTCAGATCCTGCAGCCTGCTTTGGATTCTGTGTCTCCCTCTCTCTCCCCCCTCCCTCTCACACTCCATCTTTCTCTCTCTCAAAAACAAATAAACATTAAAAAAGTTTTTTTTAAAAGAAAATACTTAAAAAAATCAGTGAATATTTCTGTGGTTAAAAAAAAAAAAAAAGCCTTAAAGGCAGGAGTGGCAGAGGGGAGGTAGTGAGGAGGGCTTTTACATTTTGTCTCAGACTTGCTGGTGGGCAGGTACTTTCAAGCTCAAAGTCAAATATATATAATCTCTAAGGGGCGAAATGGGAATAGCCATGTTGCTATGGTAACAGGAATTTATTCTGCCAGGGGCTGTTACTTCCTCTGCAAATATGACTTCTGGTTGTCAACATTGGTAAATCAAAAATTTTTACTACCTTATAGTGGTGCTGAAATCATCTGAGAATCACTGTACTATGATGGATCTCTTTACCAACCACCAAAAAGAGTCAATAGGTCTGAAAACCTGTTAATCTGTTCTTTCTTTCTCTCTCCTCTGTATATATGCATTTATCACCTGTCATAGGCTTTGGATTAATAAAGGATTCACAAAGCTGCCACTTGATATATATATATGTGTGAACACACATGCTCTGAACAGGTGTCCTAAGGACCAGTTGACAGGGCTTTACCAGTGTATTCATCCAAAAAGCTCCCACTTAAGGTCCTGTTGAATTATCCCTGGGCCTGAGTTGAAACATCAGGCCAGATTACAGGCCTCTGTAGGTAAACAGATGTGATTCCATTATTTAAATAATGGACTGCATTATTTAAAATACCTTACATTAACCTGTCTTAGAATATAGGAAACGTTCCAATTTTGCCTGGTTACGACCACCAACAAAATACACTTTTTTACTATTCTACAGGAGAATGCTATTACAAAAAAATACATATTTGAAAATAGTATTCTCATATTTGGAGAATATGTTCTCATGTTTTTCTTAATAGAGTTCTCAGCAGAACAATAGAAGAGCAGCTTCTATGGGACAAAGGGAGCTCTGGTCTCCAACGAGAGTTTTATTTATTTTTTTAATTTTTTTTTCCAACGTTTATTTATTTTTAGGACAGAGAGAGACAGAGCATGAACGGGGGAGGGGCAGAGAGAGAGGGAGACACAGAATCGGAAACAGGCTCCAGGCTCTGAGCCATCAGCCCAGGGCCTGACGCGGGGCTCGAACTCCCGGACCGCGAGATCGTGACCTGGCTGAAGTCGGACGCTTAACCGACTGCGCCACCCAGGCGCCCCGAGAGTTTTATTTTAAACTTCACATCTTACTATTTCAAGTGTACTTTATTAAATCATGTGAAAATAGCTGATACACACAAATATATACACATGCATATGCATGTGTTTGCATGTATATGCATTTACACATTTAATTTACAAGAAGCAATCCTGCATTTAATTTAGTTCTTAAACTCATTTACTTTTCATATTTTATAACAGATGATAAAAGCAATACCTTATATAAAATTTGGGAAAAAAGGCAAGAAAAAAATTCACACATAATTTCATCTCCCAGAGGCAATGTCCTTTTTTCCTTTTCAAAACCAATTTGTCATATCTCATTCTATTTTTAATGCTTTTTCTCATGTAGTTGGAATAATTATGTACATTATAATTACATCATAAGCATTTGCCAGATTTCTAGAAACTACATAAACATCCACTGTACCAAATGCACCACGTTACTTAATGGTTTCCTTAATGTCGGACATATGTTTCCAATTTTTCACTATTATGAACATCGCTTCAATAATATTTTTGTTTATATTTTTTGTCCATGCTTTAGATTAAAAATCCATACCCGTGTTAAATTTTTTAAAGTTTATTTACTTATTTTGAGAGAGTGTGCATTAACAGGGGTCATGAGAGAATTCCAAGCAGGCTCTGTGCTGTCAGGGCAGAGCCCAACTAGAGTCTCGATCTAACAAACCCTGACATCATGACCTGGGCCAAAATCAAGAGTTGAACGCTCAACCAACTGAGCCACTCAGGTGCTCCCATACCCATGTTAAATTTTTATCAGTAAAATCAGAGGATTAAAACAATTTGAAACTTTAGAAATAAATAAATTTGAAATAAATGCTTTCTGGTATATAAGAACTAAACGTCCCTTCTAACCACTGCCACTACTACCAACCTAAATTTTTGCCTCCATTTATACTCCATCCAGTGTTGGAGGAAAGTCATCATAGTCCTACAGTATCTGCACTCCACTGCTTGTCAGCAATTTTTACCCCTGCTGATCTGACTGGCAGAAAATGCTCTTGCATTCACATTTGAACATTTGGGCTTTCTTTCTTTCTTTCTTTTTTTTTTTTTTTTTTAAGTATACAAGTTTTATCTATTTGGGTAGACTAATCATTTTATCTTCTCATTTGTCATTACTTTCTCTGCTTTTAAACTTAGGTCTTTCCAATCAGAGATCAAATTCAATCTTTTTGCATTGAACTCTTTCATTCAAGAGGAGCTCACTCATATGGAGTAAGAGGAAGGCTTGGACTGATTTTTATCTTTGTCCAAATGGCTAGCTTGTTGACCTACATACTTTGTGAAATACGCCTATTTATTTGAATGCTTTATTTTTACTTGATTTCCTTTATATACCCTATGGTCCAGTAGTTCATAAACTTTAAGCATTGGGACTTTCTTCAAATAAACTGTTACCTAAGAGACAAACTCATAAAAGAGACAAAGGTTGAGGCGTGCTGGCCCAAGAGGTAGAAGGCTGCCTCATGTCACCTTCTGGGTGATATGGATCTGTCCCAGGATCTTGACAGAGCTGCGAGGCAAAACATCTCTTAAACCAAAATGTACTTCTATGTGCTTTCCTGTCTCTTGTGTTTTTGCTCTCATGGATGCTCTGCCTGGAATGCCTTCCTCATATGGAGGAGTGGGTGATTACAAGTCTGTGCATTGACCGGGAGAGCACCAATCCTCCTATCAGAAGCTTTGTGTTTCCTCTGTAAATCCTATTTATTTATGAAATAAAGCTATCATTGACCTCAAACCTGGGGTTAAATATACATGAATTCCGGTACACTGAAGAATGCACTCATATATAAAATATTTTGTTCACATGCATGAAAGCAAAATAAATGTGCCTCTACTCACGTGTAAGCTTCAAAGTCCCCATTGTTGATAGCTTCAATCAGTTGTTCAGTGACTTTGATAATTTCTTGCTTTCGTGCTAAAGGCAAAGATAGATTATTTTATGTGGCTTTTGTCCTTTGTTCTCATAAAACTCTAACAATATTGCTATTTTTCTTAGAGTTTTAACATTTAAGACCCATCCGTCCCCCAAACATGGTGTTATTCTCTCTACAATCTTGCTGTTTATAGTGCAGAGATCAGCATCATCGACTTCTTTTGGGAGGCTGTAAGACACACAGATTCTCAGGTCTACTCCAGACCTACAGATTGAGAATCTGCATTTTAACAGGACCTTTAGTCACCTAGAAATTCCAGGCTATATAAGTTCTCATTACCTTCATCAACATAATTGGGTTTGTAATTTTTTTTTTCTTTGAACATTTAACAGATGTATGTCTATCTTCAGAATACAGAGGATCTTTTACATTGAGACACTTCAGATACTTTTTACCGTTCAGCTCAACCAACTCTGCAAAAGGGGATGCCGACACTATAAATGACATCATATTTAGACAAATGGCCTTCAGTGAACTCTATGAATTGGAAAACCAACATATGAATCAATATGTGGACATAGGCAGATAGTTCGATGGAACCTCCCTGAAGAGCTGTCAATTCCAACACCAAACATGCTTTGTTTCTATTTCCAGCCCACAATTGGTAAAATTATTAATAGTTGCCTTGGCTCAAATCCCACTTATTCAGTAAATTCCTTTCTGATTACCTTTGCAAATGTTCCTTGCCTTTTCTGAATGCCTACAGTGTATCATTCATTTGGTAATGAAGCATATGCTATAATACCACAACACCTTTTTTAGTTAAATCATTACTAGTTTTAAATTGTTATTAAACTTTGTTCACTGTGTGATGGTCTTTCTAGTTAAATTAAAAGTTCCCTTGGTGTGGGGGGGGAGGCTATTTTTTGCATCCTCTAAGTTTTATTCCAATGTCTTTAAAATAGGTGCTCAATAAATGTGTGAATTTGATCAACTGCCATTAATGATAATCTTTTGATTTCAGAATTCTATTGTTACTAATGAAATTAATGCATGAAATTTTTAAAATTTAAATTTCTATGAGTTTTGCTTTAAGAACATTGTGATACGTCCTTAAATCACTGGAAATTAACTAGGAGAGTCACGAAGAGTTATATTCATTCTATCTTAGTGAAGCTGCTATTCATAACAGAAAAAGCGGAAGTCTGGTTTTAGATAATTTTTTTTCCAAAGTTTGTTTATCTTGAGAGAATGAATGAGAGTGCAAGCAGAGATGGGGCAGAGAGAAGGGGAGACAGAATCCTAAGCAGCCTCTGCGCTGTCATCGCAGAGCCCGGCTGAGGACTCACCAACTGTGAGATCATGACCTGAGCTGAGAACAAGAGTTGGACACTTGATCGACCAAGCCATCCAGGCACCCCATTTTGTTATTGATTAAAGGCAACCAATATGTATTTTTAATGAAACCGATCATTATTAAACATGTTTTAACCACAAAGTTAAATGCTTACATTTTCCAAGTTATGATGTTCCTTATTTAAAATAAATATTCTGTAAACCTAACCTCATTTATATTATATGAGACTACCCTATAAAATATGACTGCTAATAATGCCAAGGTTGATAATATAAAAAATCACTATATAGGTTAGATTTCATTTTCGTTACATTATTAACTTTCATTTATATAATAAAAAAAATTTTCTTAGCTCCTACACGCATTTAAAACATTTTTTGCCCTTGTTCAGTTGATTTATGAATATCTAGAATATATCCAACACCAAAACATACTGACACAAGTAGTAGCAGGGAATAATTCTGTAATAGGGATGCCACCAGTGGCACATTTTAGCTTAATTTAGTTAGGCAATAAGTGATTCATCTGTTTCTGGCCTCAACAGTATGAACATTTGGCAAAAGTGCATGACAGCTGACCCGATTCTGGAATATAAAGGACACTGGTGCTCAGAAAAGGAGATTAAGAAAATGTGAATATCAAAACCTCCTCAAAATTAAATCCTTGTTTAAAGCTAATATATTTCCTAGTTTGCTAAGTAAAAAACTACAGTTTAGAAAATGTCAATTTTTAAAAATGAGATGGAAGAAAAACGAATGTGAAATCAGTACCCTTTGTAGAGCTTCATTAGGCTAAGGCTCAGTTTACAGAGCGTGAAAAGTTCAAGGTCACGTTCTGAATTTTCTGAACATCTCTACCTTCCCTGATAAACAAAATATGGAATTAGAATATCGACTTTAGGTATGGCCATCTCTCATACTGTGAGTCACTGTGGAAATACTTATTATCTCTTTAATAGTTTACAGGCTACAACTGGCTTAATTTTTGTCCTGCACAATCAAAGCAACACAAATTGCCTTCTCTCTTAGGTCTTAGGCTCAGAAACAATGGTCCTTTAGCTGGCAGCACAGCAAGTGGGAATTAGTGAGAATGCTTCTGTGCTGCATCATCAGGAAAACAACATGACAATCTTGGCTTGGCCCTGGAACTCAGGAATCTTTAGAGTGCTTACTTCCCTGGGGCAAAGGAGCCTGAGTGAGTCACAGGTAGCACATGACAGCTGACTCTTTAAAGGAAAGCAGAAGTCTGGAAATGAATCATTTGTATATAGTAGTCTACTGTGGTTGGGACTATTGCCACAGTGACCTACAGGAAGAGTGAGGTTTTGGTGCTCGCTAGCGAACAGTGAGGATAAGAGACAATCTACTTCTCAGAAGTGAGGTTAAGGGACAGTCACTGTGCTAGGTGCCTGGCTGCCTGCCTATCTTCTGTAGAAAGGGACCCCTATCGTCTGGCCTTCCCTCTTCCTAAATATCAAGTAATGACCACTCCAGAATTCAAACTGGGGACAGCTTGTGATGTGTCACTATTTAACAATTCAGATGAAGGAAAACTGTACCAATATGGCATTCCCTGCATACCAGAAGTTTTTCCGTCTTTAGCTAGCACTTTAATCACTGGGAACTGATTACTCAGTAGTTTCATTTACAGAATAAAGGTACTGAAGCCTATACCCATAAGTCCCAAAGTAGTTTGTGGGGATTTCCAGGTTCCTAGGGGAAAGGCAGGAGAGAAAAGTAAGTGGGAGAGATGTTTCAGATTCTGAGTGTAATTGCTTCCCATGCAACCATGCAAAAGACCTAGAAACATTTTCATGTTCAAATTCATATTCTTTTTGGCTCCCTTATTTTTCTAAAGAGGACTGTTAGATAAGGATGTGAATGGCCCCAGTGTTAAAAACCAACCAACAAAACAAGAAACCCTGGGAACTGAGAATAAGTACATAATAAAACAATGGATAGATTTCAACATTTCTCAAACATTATCAGATCTGAACGATGACCAACAACGTTCTGGGATATGCACACAAACATTACCTACCGGTTTTACAGGTAAGTACAGAGAATATAGGCACTGACCAAGGGACACAGAGTTTGCTGATTACTCCTTCCCTCCATCTTGAAATACTTTTACTGCTTTCCTGCTTTTCTTAATAATTGTGTGATCATATGATCTCTTATTTACTATGTTCTCTTTCTCTACCTGGACTTTAAATGTTTTAATTCCTTTCAAAGGTTCAATTTGAGGCCCTTCTCAACACACACTGTATCCTTCTGAACCCTTCCACACCAGTGTTTTATATTGCTATTTATGTCCCAGTGACTGGCACATTGTTACTTCCTTTTTTCTAGTCTTTTCCTCTACCTCTGTGTGTCAGTGCCTATTTTGGAATCTTCATTTGGATATCTCAAATGCATCTTGAACCCAACATACGCTAAACTGATCTAATGAACTTCTACCTGCACAAATCTACTTGCTTTTCCAGGGATCTCCCTCTTGGAGAATGGCAACATCATCATCCAGTTGCATAAGCCAGAAACCTGAGAATCATCTTTGAATCCCTTATCCTACACACCCCATCCAATCTTTCAAGTTCTGTTGATTTTGCCTTTTAAGATATATTGCATATTGGGACGCCTGGATGGCTCAGTTGGTTAAACGTCCGACTTCAGCTCAGGTCATGAACTCGTGGTTCGTGAGTTCAAGCCCTGCGTGGGGCTCTGTGCTGATAGCTCAGAGCCTGGAGCCTGTTTCAAATTCTCTATCTCCCTTTCTCTCTGTCCTTCCCTCACTCATGTTCTGTCTCTATCTCTCTCTCAAATAAACACTAAACATTTTTTTTAAAAATTAAAAAAATAAAATGTATTACATATTAGTTCTTACCTTCTTCACCACCACTCTGGTGTAAGCACCCATCATTTCATAATAAGTTATCTGAAGAGACACTATGAAATCTGGCATAATCTCGACTCTGCTCATCTCACCAGACTCATTCAAAGGCCCTTTTACTTTTCCTGTCCACTCCACCCATACAGCCTATTCTCAGAAATGGAAAATGGCCAAACTGCCTTCTAGTGTTAGCCCGTATATATTATCCTCTCTTGGAGAGCTGTCCCCCATCTTTGCTTCCACTTCTTTTATCAGATCTCAACTATTATTTCTTTGAAAAAGCCTTCTCTGACCCTCATTTTAGGAGAGGTCTCCATGTCATAAATTCACACTTATCTTCTCCTACAACTGCTGTTTAAAGGCACTTAGTATACTAGAATTTACATATTTATTTGTGTGGATTTGATTACATTTTCTCTATTTGTAAGCTCCACAGGGGCAGATAACTAACCACTGCAACCCAACATCTAGCATAGTACATGCTTAATAAATATTTGAATGAACAATGGGTCTAGAACAGACTCAAGCGCTTTCTGATTCCCAATCCAGTGGCCTTTCCAACATATAAATACTTCATTTTTAAATGATGGTCAGAGAGCCTTTAAAAAATATACAACTAATAAAGCAATTCAGATTTTAAGAAGCATACCTTATTGTTTACTGACAGTGAAAGAAAATACTCTTCAACTTATCTAAAACTAACCATCAAATTTCTTTCTCTTTTTGGCTTCCTTATTTTTGCTAATGCAACCACAATTTTACTGGTCTCCCAGCTCAAAACCTTGGGTTACTTCT